CGTGCATGTGTGTGTGTGTACACACACACATGCACACACACACATTTTTTTTGTTTTTTTCCTGAATTTTCAGAAAAGTCCACTTTCATCTCTGTTTAATGTTTTCAAAAATCTCTGCTATTGGTTAGTGAAATATTTACGATTAGTCATTTAATTTTGATTGTTGAGAATGACTTCCTTTCTTTTATGATTTCAACATCAATGATTGAACAAGCATGCTTTCATCATCATCATGACAGACAAATAATAAAAGATGAACTCAAATATTGTTTACCTTACATTTAAAGTGTTGATTTTTCATCACTTGTGTTTATGAAATTTGTAGGGCAGTTTGTATTATTATTTGTTTTCCAGACTATTTGGACATCTTGGAGAACACACAATAAAATGAATTTTCAAAACCAAATAAAAAGAAAAATACCTTATGGCCATAAAAACTCCCAATAAAATATGTGGTTGTACAAGTTCTTTTCAAAACAAGTGCAGAAAATTGGCTTGAATGTGTGGTTTGCTGGCGAGCGCCTGGTGGACAGTCTTGCACCCATGGGGCCCGGCCTGGCACAACCCAAAAAGGCAACGTGGGTCCCTCTTCCCATGGGCTTAGCACCTGTGGGAGGGGCCAAAGGTATCTGGTGGTCTGTCAGCTGCGCTGCGACAAAAAGCAGGGGCCTTGGGATTCTGATCCCCGGCCACAGAAAACTAGCCTGAGGAACATGGAATGTACCCTCTCTGGCAGGGACTGAGCCCCAAGCTCATGTGCGAAGCAGAGATGTTCCCACTAGATATACAGTCAAACCTCGGTTTTCGTCCATAATCCGTTCTAGAAGGCTGTTCGAAAACCGAATTGTTCGAAAACCGAAACCACGCTCTTTTTAAAATAAAAATGTTTATTGAACACGTCTGCTCACAATGGAAAGCAACACGAGGAAGCGTCACTTCCTTGTGTAAGGAAGGCGAGAGGAGTCAAATGGTGCATTCAAGTGTGCTCAGTTTGTTCGAGAACCGAATTTTGTTCGTCATCCGAGGCATTAAAAAACTCGAAATTTTTGGTCAAAAAACGAATTGGTCGAGAACCGAGATGTTCAAAAACCGAGGTTTGACTGTAGTCGGTCTCGCCTCCACACGTAGCTTGCACTCTGGTAGCAGTCCTTTTGAGAGGGGTTAGACAGTGTTTCACAATGGTTTTGCCCATGGTGAAAGGTGCCAAGTAGGTGTGCGCTAATTATTGCTTCCTGGCTTGGCGCCTGTATGTTGGGGGCCTCCCCGAGAGGCTAGCCTCCCTCCTCTTTCAGGTAGTGGTATGTGTCCTGACTGTTGTTAGTTCCTATACACCAAACAGCAGTTAAGAGTTCCCATACTTTTTCAGAGCCCTCCCTGTTCACTACATGTAAACTGTTGAGAGATTCTGTACGTCTTTTAAATTTACGCTGTATGTGCTGAGTTTTTTTTTTTTCCCTCAGGCTCAGACCATGCTTCCCATCAAGGAGAATGGTTAGAGCGGGGTTCGGCAACACGCGGGTCTCGAGCCACATGCGTCTCTTTAGCGCCCCCAGTGGCTCACTAGAGCTTTTTCAAAAATGTTTGAAAATGGTAAAAGATGGGAGGGAAATATATATATTTTTTTTTAATATGGTTTCTGTCAGAGGACAAACATGACACAAACGTTTGCTGTAAAAATGTGTCGAATAAATATTCAATGTCAACGTTTCGTCAAGCTTTCGACAGCTGCCTTTCATGTACAATTCATTGAGGGTACTTGCCGCGCCCCCCCCACCCCCCCCCCAACCATCGTCTTCCTTTTACATCTATGATATTGGGGTGCTAAACATCGAACAACCAGGCTTCCCGCTCTGTCTCCCTCTGTGGGTCATTGTTTTTTTTTTTTTTTTTTTTTTTTAATTCCTTGTGTGTTTTGCATACTTGACCAATGAATCTGATTCTGATTCTGAAGAAAAAGATTTTGAACACAAATGGCAGAGCAACACATGTATACAAACAATATGATGATCTCTCCCTTGCAACAGCTTATATATATATTGCATTGACCGCTTATTAAAGGTTAAAAGTATTGTATGTTAAAGTAAAATTACCTTATTTTCTTCTTCTTCTGCTTTCGGCTTGTCCCTTTTCAGGGGTTGCCACAGCGAGTCATTAATTTCAATCTTTCCCTGTTCTCTGCATCCTCTACTCTGACTCCAACTACCTGCATGTCTTCCCTCACGGCATCCATGAATCTCCTCTTTGGCCTTCCTCTCTGTCTCCTACCTGGTAGCTCCATCGCTAACATTCTCCTACCAATGTGTCCACTGTCCCTCCTCTGTACATGTCCAAACCATCTCAGTCTGGCCTCTCTAACTTTTTCTCCAAACTTTCCTGTCTGACTTGTCCCTCTGACTACCTCATTTCTGATCTTGTCACTCCTAAGGAGAATCTCAGCATCTTTAACTCAGTCACCTCTAACTCTGCCTCCTGTCTTTTGCCTATTGCTAGTGTCTCTAGACCGTACATCATGGCTGGTCTCACAACTGTTCTGTAAACTTTTCCCTTCACCTTAGCTGACACTCTTCTATCACAAATCACTCCTGACACTTTTCTCCAGCTGTTCCATCCTGCCTGCACTCTATTCTTCACTTCTCTTCCACAGTCTCCGCTGCTCTGCACTGTTGATCCTAGGTACTTAAATTCCAGTACCTTTGCCACCTCTCCTCCCTGTAACCTCACCGTTCCACTGGTCTCCCTTTCATTTATGCACCTCATCTGTCAATCTATCCATCACCAAAGCAAACAAGAAGGGGCTCAGGGCCGATCCTTGATGCAGTCCTACCTCCACCTTGAAGTCTTCTGTCCGTCCAACTGCACACCTCACCACTGTTTTACTATTCTCATACATGTCCTGCACCAACCTAACGAATTTCTCTGCAACCCCTGACTTCCTCATACAGAACCACAATTCCTCTCTTGGCACCCTGTCATAAGCCTTGAGCCTTCTCTCACTCTACAAATACACAGTGCAGCTCCTTCCTACCTTTCTTGTACTTCTCCATCAGCATCCTCAGGGCAAATATTGCATCTGTGGTGCTCTTCCTCGGCATGAAACCATACTGCTGTTCACAAATCTCCACTCCCTGTCTCAACCTGGCTTCAACTACTCTTTCCCAAACCTTCATCGTATGGCTCATCAACTTTGTCCCCCTGTAGTTGCTACAACTCTGTAAATCGCCCTTCTTATAAATTGGTACCTGGACACTCTTCCTCCACTCATCAGGAATCTTGTTTGTGTCTAATATTCTATTAAACAACCTAGTCAGAAAATCAACCGACACCTCCCCTAAGCACTTCCATACCTCCACTGGTGTGTCATCTGGACCAACTGCCTTACCACTCTTCATCCTTTTTAATGCTTTCCTGACTTCATCCTTTCTAACCTGATCGACCTTCTTCTTAATCCTCTCTGGCTCTTCATTCCTACGTTCCCTATTGTTTTCCTCATTTAACAACTCCTCAAAGTATTCTTTCCATCTCCTCAACACACTTTCCTCACTCGTAATGACATTTCCCTCTCTGTCTTTAATCAACCTCACCTGCTGTACATCCTTCCCAGCCTGATTTCTCTGTCTCGCCAACCTGTACAATTCTTTTTCACCTTCCTTTGTGTCTAACCTCTCGTATAACTCCTCATATGCCTTCTGTTGGGCCTTGGCCACTTCTCTCTTCACTTCCCTTGTCATCTTCTTGTACTCCAGCCTGTTCTCTTCTGTTCTCTCACTATCCCATCGCTTCTTCGCTAATTTCTTCCTCTGTACACTTTCCTGAACCTCAACATTCCACCACCAAGTCTCTTTGTCCACCTTTCTCTGTCCTGAGGCCACACCGAGCACCTTCTTTCCTGTCTCCCGAATCACTGCTGCAGTAGTCTCCCAATCATCTGGGAATTCCTCAACGCTGCCCAGAACTGCCCTTACCTCACTCCTAAATTCTTCACAACAGTCTTCTTTCCTCAATTTCCACCATTTTATTTTCTTCTCTGTCTTCACCCTCTTCCTTTTCCTCACCTCCATTGTCAGCTTGCACACTACTATCCTATGCTGTTTGGCTACACTCTCTCCTGGCACCACCTTACAGTCGTTAACCTCCCTCAGATTACCTCTTCTACATAGGATATAATCTATCGGTGTGGACCTGCCTCCACTCTTGTAAGTTATCAGGTGTTCTTCTCTCTTTTGGAAATAGGTGTTTACCACGGCCATTTCCATTCTTTTGGCAAAGTCTACCACTGCCTGTCCTTCCAAGTTCCTATCTCTAAGTCCAAACTTGCCCATCACTTCCTCATCACCTCTGTTACCTTCCCCTACATGACCATTTAAGTCTGCTCCAATCACTACCCTCTCCCCCCTGGGAATGCTCTCTGTCACTCTATCCATCTCATTCCAGAACTTTTCCTTTTCTTCTAACTCACAGCCCACCTGTGGGGCATACCCACTGACTACATTCATCATCACACCTTCTATCTCTACCTTCACGCACATCAACCTGTCTGACTCTCGTTTTACTTCTACGACATGTCTAGCATATTTTTCCTTTATAATCACCCCTACTCCATTCCTCTTCCCATCTACACCATGGTAGAACAGCTTGTAGCCTCCTCCAATGTTTCTAGCCTTGCTGCCCTTCCACTTTGTCTCCTGTACCCTGTAGGTGAACAGCACTGTTAGCGGTCGTTTTTATCCTGGGCCCCGACCGATCCAGTATGGAAATCGTTTTATCAACTCGCATGTTCGTTTTGGCAAACGTTTTACGCCGGATGCCATTCCTGACGCAACCCTCCCCATTTATCCGGGCTTGGGACCGGCACTAGGGAACAGTGTACCCCCGGGGGAGGGCACTGCTCCCCAGTGGCTGGGTTATTCCCTTATTTTCAATGGAAAAAAAAAATATCTTTACATACCTTTCACTCATATCGCCCATCCCTATCAGATATCATACTGAAAATTCAAATCAAATAATCAGGTATTCAGGTAACGTAATTTTTTTTGGCTTGGTTTATTCATGCAGACGTCAGTAACATTGATTCTCCGCCAAAAGAACCAAGTGGTTCATGAAGCAGATTTGAAGCGTTATTGTCTCGTCATTGAAAAACTGAAAATATATTCTGGCATCTCGTTATCACGATATAAAATGGCCTCTATCATGATGGGAGATCTTACCCGTTTTGCCCACCACGACAGCCTATTAGTTTTCAGTCAAAAAAAGAAAACACAAGTGCACATTTTCATGTGGTGTCAAAAAATTATATTTAGTATCATACTATGCCTTATGCGTGGCAATTTATATTTTTTTTATGGCAGTGTTGAAAGTGACACCCTTGCAACTTTAAGACACCGTGGGATACCGTAATACTGCCCAACCCTATTTTACCGTGTCATTAGTAGCTCATGCATTGATGAAGAAGTCAGCTAGTCGCGACGAGAACCAATTTGTATTGCACACCACATTGACACGACATGTGATGCGTACGTTGAGGTAATATTCTTCAGTTTAGCACAAAGACAAGTTCACTCACATGAGCGGGACTCTCTTGCCCGGTCGGTTATGAGGGCCCCACCAGGCTGCTGCACTACCCCCCATCCTGAGGCGAGCGTGGATGGAAAGAAAAAGCCCTCAGTAGATGCATCCATGCTTTATTTTAATATTCGGAAAAATCACATGTTTTGGCCATAAACAAGTTAGCTTTCAGTGATTTCCTTAACATTTGGCAGCTCTGTGTTTTGCCACACAAATGCCGGACCATTCGTTGCTTTACACACACACACACACACACACACACACACACTTTTTTCTTGTCTGTTTTGCAAAACTCCCGGAGACATTCCTCTTACTGTGTCACCAAGCAAAAATCACTATTGTAGTTCATTGTATACTCTTCACTGAAGCTCTGGAAGCCAACTTAAAGCCTAAATGCCAGCGAGGGGTGAATATTTGTACAGTGAAACTCCTCTAGAACGAAACCTACATGGGCGAAAATACCCCCTAATGTGAAAAAATCTTCATGCATTAACACAATTCCCATTCTCCTGCCCCCCATACGACGAAACCCCCCCTGTTGCGTTATACGAAATCATTTTCTCTGCTCCTGCCTCGCGAAGACATTCACTACAACGAAGTCTAATCCAACAGTGACCTCTACTGCTTCGTTCGGAAACGACAACAGCAACCACCGCACTGGTTTACATAGTGAACAATGTTTATTTCGGTCACAGCTGCGAGTTTCCTGAACGCGACATACTCATAGCTATTATTAAAAAAAAAAAAAAAAAAAAAAATTTCTATAGACCCTTGCCAATTTTCTCA